ATACATAGTAGACACCAGATATTATCAAGTCAGTGGTCCCTTTCAGTAGTCCTGTTCCTTTTCAGCTCCTTTAGGCTGAAAGCATGCTTACTGTAGCAATATTCATAAGTGTGGCTTGTTAAGGGATGGGGCCTAGTGAAAGGTGACTACCCCATGGAGCACTGTTCTCAGAACACATGAGTGTAGCTCTCTCATGGTTCAGTTAGTTCTCGTGAGAGCAGGTTATCATAAAGAGACACTGTGCCACATGCCTATGTGACTACTCTGTCATGCTATAGTATAATAGCTACAAAGCCCTCACTAGAGGTCAGCTGAGGGAGGGCCACCCAATCTTGCATAGTCAGCATCTGAAACTGTGAGCTGCATCAACTTCTTCTCCTTATATATTACCCAGCATCCGGCATTCTATTATGGCAACGTACAATGGACTAGTATGATTAAGGGAAACTTCCCTTTTGCACCTGATCTATGCATACCATCCTAAATGTGAGCGGCACCATTCCACCAGACCGGGTCCCGGACTGAATAAAACGGAGAAAGCGAGATGAGTGCCACCGTCCGTTGCTCTCTGATTTCTGACTGCAAACTGTGGCCGGGTGCTTCAAGCCTCCTGCTTTCACGCCTTCCCCACCAGGGACAGATGTCAAGTAGAGTGAGTAAAGAGGCCAAGCCCTTCCTAGTCCGTGCTAAGCACTGACGTCCGCACATCATTTACTGGGTCTGTCCAGTTTCTCTGCAGTCATCCATGCAGACCCAGAAAGATGACTATCCAAAGAACTCTCCAGGAGACCTGTCTCTTTCCACCCCAGCCTCCAAACCTACTGACGTGGATGTTTAGAGGGGTCTCAGCGGTGGGTCAGTAACCTGGCCACCTGCTAACTCCAGGATAGCAACAAGGCGTCTGACAATATATAAACTAGTTATTTCCTCTTGCCATCAGAAAATGGAGTCCTCCAAAGGGAGGGGGCTGTCTGGGTAGCTGAGTATGTTACTCCGGTGATTATGAGGAATTCAGACCCCCAGATTCCATGTAAACGGGGCACCTGTAACTCTAGCCTTGGAAGGGCTAGACAGGGAAAACCCAGGGCAAGCTGATTAGTCCGACTAGCCATATCAGTGAGCTCTGGGCTTGATTGAGAGAGCCTGTCTCAAAGAATTTGATGGAAGAAGATTGGTGAGATCAACCTCAGGCCTCCACCTGCACACAATCTGGAATGTGCATGCGTGTGTGTGTGTGTGTGTGTGTGTGTGTGTGTGTGTGTGTGTGTGTGTGTGTGTGTCTACATACATTCGGACATACACACACACACACACACACACACACACACACACACACACACACACATACACACACACACCAAAAAGGAAAAACAGACTTTTCGAGAGGACAGTTTCCTTGTTTCTCCTCTGCTCTTTGCTGACCTCACAGCCCGTGGTGCCCCTAAAAGACGTGGACTGAGAAGACAACACAGCTGTAGTTCAGGCTTGGTGCCACAGTGAATGGCTCTTCTGTCCACACTGCTCACGTGGTCCTGCGCCAATTGCTACTTGCTCTTCTTAAAGAAAGCAATCGCACTGGTCTGGCGAGGCTGTTGTTAAGGGGATGGAAGGAACCTCAACTCCGCCGACCCTGCACCGGAGGGACTAGTAAATGGTAACTATTACCACTATACCCAGTCTCTTTGATCGGTGTAGCGTGGGGCCCACGTCACAGGTAAGGCAGGAGTCTGACCTGTCCCAGCCTCACCAATGTGTAAACACAAGTGGCAAAAAAACAAACGGCCCTTCTCCCAGCGCTCCTGCAAATCGCTGCTGAGATCCACAGAGAAGCAGCTCTCTCTGTACCTGTGGGCTGGGAGCCTTCAGGGGGCCGAACGACACTTTCACAGGGGTCTCAGATCAGATATCCTGCATATCAGGTATTTACATTATAATTCATAACGGGAGTGAAACTCCCGTTATGAAGTAGCAATGAAATAATTTTATGGTTGGGGGGGTCATGACAACATGAGGAAATGTATAAAGGGTCACAGTATCAGGGAGGTTGAGAACCACTGGTCTAGAGTTATGAGCCCCATCCTGGGAGATGCTCACTGGAAATTTACTATATCTTTGTATTAGCTACCACACAAACAAAACAGGGGTTACTAAACAGAAGCGAAGCTACCCCCCACCTTTTAAAGTATTGCTAAAGTTTCACTAATCTCTAAATAAATCGATAAGTTATAGGGTATCTAAGAGGACTATTCACTTCCTTGAATCACACTTACAGGGCACAGGCACCCCTTAGGAGAACAGTATCAGGGTATATAACAAATGAATGCATCCTGAGGTGCTATGTCAGAACACGGATTAAGTCCACTGGTGAAAAGTGAGGCCCAGATAGATGTTGGTTGGCCCACATAAGTTGTAGTTGGCTGTGTCTAATTTAGGTTTATCTATAACTTGAATATGGAGCTACCATTAAAAATAGCTAAATGTGGGGCTGGAGAGACGGCTCACTGGGTAAAAGCACTTGCCAGGCCAGCCTGATGACCTGAGGCAAATCTCTGACACTCGTGTAAAATGCCCAATGTGGTGGCATTGCTCTGTGGTCTCAGCATCCCTACAGCACTCGGGAGGCTAAGACAGGAGAACTGCCCAGAAATGTGAGGGCCAGCTGACATGGAGTGTGAGAGAAGAGAGACCCTGCCTCAAAACAAGGTGAGTCCGGAAGGTTTTCCCCTGACTTTGACATGCCATACATAGCACACACACACACACACACACACACACACACACACACACACACACACACACACACGGGTGAACACTCAGTTGCTTAGCATGCCAGCTTCAGCTTTGTGTTGGCTCCCCGGAATGCTTCCTTTGAGTCACGTAACTTCGGTATGACAGGTGACTCTTAGCCTTACTCCCCTAGAACATTGTGCTTGGCATTCTTACATTCTATATGCCCAGCACCCCCACACTAGAAAGGTGTTCTGTCCTAAGGGAAGAATCAGACTCTTACAGCCAATTATTTGGGAGGGAGATGAGTGTGTGTGCTCATGCATGTGTGTGTCTATGTATATGCATGTGGTGTGTGTGCGTGTGCATGTGCGTGTGCTTGTGTGTGTGTGTGTGTAGGCCAAGAGTCCATGTCAAGAGTCTCCCTCAGTTGCTTCCCACCTATCTTCCAGCCCCTCCCCCCAGCACTTGGGTCACAGGTATACACATCCACACTAGAATGTGTGGGGAAACCTTGGGGACTAAAGATCCCAACTCAGGTCCATGTATTTGAGCAGCAGAAACCTTAGTGACACATCCATTTCCCCAGCTCTGGACCCAAGTCCTAACCTGACAGTGAATGAGGATGCGTGTTCTACTTCTCCAAGTGGTAATTAAAGATGTGGAGAAGATCACACTCAGGGGAAAAAAAATCACTTCCTGCTCAGGTGCCACATTGAAAACATCTACCACACTTTGCAAAATACTGTTTTTTTCCTTGAGTAGAGGGAATCCATTAGAGAGCCATAGTCTTCAACTCTGCCACTGGAAGACAGAGACTGGGTCTGGTTAACAGTGACACTCAGCACTGTCTTTGGGCCTGGGCACAGGTCAGACATTCAGGAAATGTGCATGAAAGGGCTGGAGGAACCATTCATCCAAGCTCAGATGTGACCCTCAGCACTGGAAAGAGGACAGGGAGACTGTGGCCTCCCTAGAGCTGGGGTCCCATCCATGGCAAGTGTATCTGTCTAGCACCTGCCTGCTTATCCATCGTCTCACTTAGGGCCTACACCCTTCTTATGCTTATGTGTGTGGGCATGTGCGTGTGTGTGTGTGTGTGTGTGTGTGTGTGTGTGTGTGCGCGCGCGCACCTGTTCCTGTGGGTGTGGGTGCACGTGTGTTCCAGAGGACAGCCGTGAGTGTTGTTCTTCAGGTACTGTCTATTTTGGTTTCAGAGAAAGGGTCTCTCACTGGTCTCAACTTGTCACATAGGCTAGGCTGGCTGGCCAGTGAACCCCAGGGATCAGCCAGCATATCTCTGCCTCCCTAGCCCTGGGATTGCAAGCATGAGCTGCTGCGCCCAACTTTTTTTAGTGGGGGTTTTGGGGGGAGTGAATTCAGGTTCTCTGGCTTGCAAGGTATGCACCTTACCAATCAAGCTATCTGCCCAACCATTTCCCCTTTCTCTATGAACATTGACTAAAATAGGTTTGGACAGGACCTAGGGTTTTAAATCATTGGTGTATTTAACTCACTTTTCCCTGACGCTCTGTCCTGAAGTCACCATCTACTAATCTTGCTTGGCTACACAGTTCCAGGAGCTGGTGGACACTCTGGGGACACAGCTGGGCTTGGCCTGGTCAGACCTTAAGGACAGGCTCACTGGGACAGACAGACGCACATTCACCGAGGTGCAGGTGGCCAGCATTACTCTTGCAGTGAAATCATGGGTTTTGCCTTTTGCATTTTACAGAAGAGGACACAACATAATCATGGTTTTTGTTCGCTCTGAGTAAACATCTGACAATGTCCAATTCAGCGGGCTCTGCCCTCGGTCACAGCAATGTTGTCAGATGTGTAGCTCACCCCACCATCCTCACAGTGCAGGAAAGGACAGGCTTTTTATGCTTCATTCTCTTTCTTTCTCTTAAGAGTGTGTGTGTGTGTGTGTGTGTGTGTGTGTGTGTGTGTGTGTGTGTACATGTGGAGGTCAGAGGACAGACAACCTTAGTTGTCATTCTTAAGAGCCGCATACCTTGTTTCTAAGACAGGGTCTCTGACTAACCTAGAACTCTCCAGTTTATCTAGGCCTCCTAGTCTGCAAGGCCCAAGGATACAGCTGCCTCCACCTCTCCCACACTCCTCTGTGCTTGGCTATTCATTTGTTTTGTTTCGTTTTAACATACAGAGAGGGAAAGACAGGCACACACACAGAGAGGGGGGGAAGGGGGAAGGAAGAGAAGAGGGGAGAGAGGGAGAAAGACAGGAGAGAGAGAGAGAGAAAGAGAGAGAGAGAGAGAGAGAGAGAGAGAGAGAGAGAGAGAGAGAGAGAGAGAGAGAGTGTTTAGTTCTCTACAGAGTATCCCATATTCTGAACATGAGACAACTGTTTTCCTGAGTCTTTGGTTTGTCTTGTAGCCAGGACTTGGCATAACCACACCATAGAAAATAGGTCTACCTAGGGAAAGGCGCTTTTTGCCAAGCCTGACCACCTGAGTTCAATTCCCCTGGACCGATGTGGTAGGAGAGAACTGATTCTTGCCAGCCCTCTGACCTCCACACACATGCCACACACAGACTTGCCCCTGTAACACACACAGAAATAAATAAGTAAAGCTAGTGATAAACTTCTACACACTCTGAACAGGCATCTGTGACCCACGTCCCCATGGAAAGTGCCTGATGCTGGCTGGACCCAGTGCTAAGGTGGTGATGCCTCACTGCTCCATCATGACAGGTCATTGTCACCTTGCAGCGAGCAGAGGAGTTGCAGGCAGGGTCGTCATTTGTCACTGCACAGAACCCAACCCCCAGTGACTTTCTGATGGGAACTTTCAGTGGCCAGAATGACCCATTCCCTGACCTGATTTCTCCCTGGGGAGCACAAGTAGAGATTTTCCAACTCTACCATCTTTCCACATTTCCTGTGAAGAAGTACGAAGGCACGGTTGTGTCTAGAATGGGGAAGTGGCAGAACTGTCATCAGTAGTGACAGATGAAGTGGGTTTCCCCCTTTCGATTTCTTTTCAAACATTGCTGTGAGCACACTGAGGTTTTTTTTCATTATTATTTTTTAGTTAGCTTACAAAGCGGCCAGTTTCTTTGTGGCGTTTTCATACACACTTAGTTTTGATCGACCCTTTCTGCAATCTCTTTGCTCCCTCATTCCTGTTAAAGCCTTCCACCCAACATCCCCCCGCCCTGTGGTTGGATCATATGTGTTCTATTACCCTCCCTACCTTTCTCCCTTAAAGCCCCTCTCTGGGGCCTCTGCACACACTCACGTCTCACAAATACACACATATAAGACATAGAAGCCTGGACCTGCCCCGTGCCTGGCTTCTCATTTAATTTATTGCCTCCCTTAAGAGATTTTCCAGTTCCATTATTTTCCTGCAGATGTTTTGTTTGTCCTTGTTTTCTCTGATTGACCTGTGAGGCTTGCTTTGAGCTTTTTGGTTTTTGTTTGTTTGTTTGTTTGTTTTGTTTTTAAGGTAGGTTCTCCCGACATAGACCAGACTGTCCTAGTACCTGTTATAGCCCAGACTGACCTGGAGCAGATGACCCTCCCACTTTAGCCTCGGGCGTTCAGGGATTACAGGCCTGCACCTCCATACCAAGCAGAACTCATAGGTTTTTATTTATTTGAAGTTTTTGATCAATTTGTTCTTTTTCTTTTTGATACTCCAGTTATTCTGGATTTGGCCAAGCCTAAGATCTGTAGACTAGGCCAGCGGACTGGAAATGCCTATGAGACTTCTGGTCACAATCCAACTTAATGCTTTCTAGTCCAGAAACTACAGGTTTGGCTAGCCCCGCCTTTATCTGATAGCATGAGGCTCACCTTAGGAAGGGCTGCCTTTGTTACTGACATCAACTGACTTTATATGTCAATCATAGCTACAAAATTTCTTCCCAGCAACAGCGCTACTAGTGTTCAACACAACAGTGGGTCTAAGCATGCCGATACATAAAAGCGACCAACACAGATGGGTTCTTTTTTTCTCCAGGAATATTTCAAGCTCATTGCTATAGACTGAATGTTTTTGCCTCCCTCCCCAAATTAACATGTTGGATGAGAATGTTTTACTGAACATAAGTAACAAATCAGGTCATACTTGGAAGGCACGAGGCTTTAATTTTGTTTGTTTGTCTGTGTTCTGTACGCCTTCTGTCTTGGTTTCTTTTCTTGTTGCTGTGATAAAATATCCTGATAAAAAGCAAGATAAGAAGAAAGGTCACAGGGGAAGCTGGAGCGTAGCACACCCTGCTCCCAGCCCAGAGATGCCACAGTCATCCTAGGCCAGCCTCCAAAACAGATGCCACAGACAGGATGGGAGCGGAGGTCTTGAAGGACTTCAGGCTGGGTGCTGATCCTCACTTACACGGTCTTCCCTGCGCTTACCGTGTGGCCTCTCTAAGCTGGGGCTTTAACTTTAAGTAGGATATATTTTTAAGTGCACATCCCTGTTCTGCTTTTTAAGTTCCCTTCCATCCCCCACCCCCCACCCTGCCTTTTACTTGCAGCTGAAACAGCGAGGAATGGTTAGATTAGATCTGCACAGCTCAGATGGAAGGGGAGGAAGGTAGAATCTCCACAAACCGCCTGGCCCTGGTCCTCAGACTGGCTGGGGACAGCTCCTGCCCTGGTATGCTGGCCTTGGATACTGGCCCCTGGGCTAGGCCCAGACCAGACACTCATTGCTTGTCCTGAAACAGCAGCAGGTGCCACCTCTGTGCACATGCCCTAAGTGTCCACTTTTGTCCTAACGAGTCACCCCGGTTGCTCATCCTTTGCTCCTGAAGCCCAGGCACTAAGAGTCCCCAGCGCCTGGTGGGTGATTCACCCTTGTTCAGCAGTCTCTGTCAGAGCACCCTCTTGATGTCAGAGCCTGGCATGGGGAAGGACTATTGCTTGGCCTTTGTAAGGGGAGAGCTCACACGTCTCACTGCTTCATACTGTGTGGCTAAATGAGGAAGTGGGGGCTGGGGAAGGTAGCTGGTCGGCTCTGTCATTCCTATCTCAGCATCCCAACACATTACCCTATCAGTCACCACCGCTGCCCATTGTGGTAGTTTGAATGTAATTGTTCCCCATAAATTCAGAGAATGGCACTATTAGGAAGTGTGGCCTTGTTGAAGTAGGTGTGGCCTTGTTGGAGAAAGTGTGTCACACTGGGGGTAGGCTTTGAGGTCTCCTGTGCTCAAGCTTCCCTCAGTGTGACTTTCAGACCATTTCCCTTTGCCTGCAAGATATAGGACTCTTAACTACTTTGCCAGCTCCACATCTGCCAGCGCGCCCCCATGCTCCCCACCATGATGACAATAGACTGAATCTCTGAACTGTAAGCTAGCCATCCCGATTAAATGTTTTCCTTCATAGGAGTTGCCGTGGTCATGATGTCTCTTCACAGCAATACAAACCCTAACTGCGATGCCCATGTGTCATCTTCAGTGCTGAAACTCCTTCAAAACCACATTCACCAAGGTCAGCTTCTCTTCTCTGCTCACATGGCAATGGTTCTTCCCTCCAACACCACCTCTCTTTAACACAACAGATTCCTCAAAGCTTTGGACGGGGGCACTATCTCGATAGATAAAGCACTTGCTGTGCGAGCACGAGAACCAGAATTTAATCCCCAACACCCACATAAAAAGTTGGTCATGAGATCTGGAATGATGCCTCAAGGGTTAAGAGCACTTGTTGCTCTTCCCGAGGACCCAGGTTCAGTTCCCAGCACCCGTGTGGCAGCTTATAACCATCCGTAACTCCAGTTCCAGAGGATCAAACACTCTCTTCTGGCCTCCATGGGCACCAGGCACAAATGTGGTACACAGACATAAGTGCAGGCAAAATACCTGTACAAATAAATCTCTAAAACAAAACAAAAACGCTGGCCGTGATGTGATGGTACACTTTTAATCTCAACACTGGAAAGGCAGAAACAGGTAGAATCCTGGAGCTTTCTGGCCAGCCAGCCTAGCCTACTTCATGAGTTCCAGGCCAATGAGAAACCCTGTCTCAAAAAAAACTGAGATGGGCCAAGCATGGTGGCACTTGTATTTAATCCCAACACTCGGGTGGCAGAGGCAAGCAGATCTTTGTAAGTCAGAGGCCAGCCTGATCTACATAGCAAATTCCAGGCTAGCCTGGGCTACATAGTAAGGCTCTGTCTCTAAAAACCATAGCCCAAACAAAGCAAGATGTGCAGTACCTAAGGGATAAGAGTCAAGGTTGGCCCGTGCCCTCCACACACAACACACAAAGTCCTCAGAAGATCACAACATAGATTTACAGGCTGTGCATGTTTTTATCTAAACTTTTTAATGATTTAGGGTAGGAAAAGGCAATTGGCATTCAATCCACCATTTTGAACTAATTTCTAAAGAGGTTGTGTGAATGCTTCCCAGCAGCCCTATGAACTAAATATTAATACTCACTTTCATTTCACCAGTGAGAAAACAAGATTGCAGCTAAAGGTGTATGCTGTGTTTTAAGATGTCATGGCTGGAAAAGAAAAAAAATGCCTTTAATTCCAACACTTGGGAGGCAAAGACTGGTGGATCTCTATGAGTCCAGCCTGGTCTAAATGTGAGTTCAGGAAATATCCTGGGCTATGTAGAGAAATCTTGTCTTTAAAAAAAAAAAAAAAGATGGGCTGACTGCTCTTCCAGAGGACCTGAGTTCACTTCCCAGCACCCACATGACAGCTCACACCTGTCTGTAATTTCAGTTTCAGGGGACCCCAACCCCCATGGCAAAAAACACAAATGCACATTTTTTAAAAAAGTAAAATAAAATTAAAAAAAAAAAAGATGTCATGGCTGACAAAGCACAACATTGCCACTAAGTCCAGAAAACTGAGTCGCCTCCCACACTGGTGAGTGAAGCGTGGTCTCATCTAACTTTATAGTTCCCTGCAAACTCTGAATCCTCTGTCCCAGGACACCGCTGTGGACCCTAACTGTCTGCCATGTCTCCAAGGCCCTTCCAACACTCCCGCTCCTATTTCCACTCATCCATCCGTCGATTCATTCATTCTCCTCCTCCTGAAGTTGCTCACTGAGAATAGCCTGTGTCGCAGACTCTGTGGGAGCAAACCTGGTGCTGGTCCTTGTGTACCTCTCTACTGCTCAGCTGTCCCCCATCTTTCAGATGGAGATGCTGAGAACAGAAGGGAGAAGTCCTCCCAAGATCACATGAGAGCAGCTGGAGGGAGGCACAGCTGATGAAGAGTCTGCCAATCCCCAGAACTCACATTGTACAGGGGGAGAGAGGGCTGGGTGTGCTGGTGCACACTGGAAATCCCGGTGCTGGGGAGATAGACAGATAGATCCCTGGGGCTCTCTGGCCAGTCAGCCTACCCTATTTGGCAAGTCCCAGACCCTACCTCAAAAAATTAAGGCAAATGGTACCTGGGAAATGACACCTGAGGTTGTCCCCTGGCCTACAGACCCCCACACATGCAAGATCACAAAGACAGGAAGACACATTCTCCCTTTTTACAAACTGGTACCTAACACTCCCTGCCTTTTGAAAATAAATAGTACATGGATGTTGTTGAAAAACTAGATTACACACTATGTACATTTCTCCCTAACAATATTTGTAGGCCTTAGAACATTTGTTTTATATTTCAAAAGCTGAAGTCATATTTTTACATGTTATTTCTCTTTAGGATGTGCTGGAAGCTGAACATGGTAACACACACCAGTTTTTCCAGCTCTGAGGTTCAGCCAGGATCATCGAGAGTTTGAATCCAGCCACACTACATATATAATTTCCTTTTCATATACATAAGAGTCTGTCTTCTGTAACTTTTTTTAGTTAAATGATTCCAGTAGAAACTTTATGAATTTCAGCTACATTTATAAAGTCAACATTTTAATTAAAAAGAAAGTAAATGGTATACAAATGAGATATTTGCTGGGTTTTGCAAAATACCAAGAACTAGTATTTTCTATAGATTAAAAACTACCTGAAAGACTGGGGAGATGGGTCAGTGATTAAGAATGCGTATTGTGGCCGGGCGGTGGTGGCACATGCCTTTAATCTCAGCACTCAGGAGGCAGAGGCGGGCAGATCTCTCTGAGTTCAAGGCCAGCCTGGTCTACAGAGCGAGTTCCAGGACAGGCACCAAAACTACACAGAGAAACCCTGCCTCGGGGGGGGGGAAAAAAAGTAGAAGAAGAAGAAAGAAGAATGCATATTATTCTTTCAGAGAGGGATCAGATGTCTCCTGCCTCCAAGGGCACCAGCACTCTTGTACACATACCCACATATGTACACAGACACACATACCTAATTACACATAAAGACAAAACTGTAAAAGCTATAGGGATGTGTGCCTAATGTGCACCCGTCCTGGGTTCAATTCCTAGCAGCAAAAACAAACAAAACTCAGCCTACATGGCTTATTATTAGGTTGTCTAACCAATACCCTATTTTTTTGAAAATCAAAAATGATTTCCAATTTTCACAACTGCCAATCAACCTTTTAATTAATATCCTCATGTTGTGCAATAATCTTCAAATAAGAAGAACTGTGGCTAATGAGCTTTGACACTTGCCTGATTTGGGATGGACTTTGAGTCTCTGTGTCCTCGCCTGCAGAATGAAATAAACTGTGCACTGTACATTAGTCTAGCTTGGCTCAAACATGCACGTATCTGAGAAGATAAGGCTGGTGTGGGAAGCCCCAGCCCACTGTGGGCAATGCTACTCCTGTGCAGGTGTTTCTGGGTTATATAGAAATAGGGCTGAGTAAGCCATGGGGAGCAAGCCAGTAAGCAGTGTTCCTCCATGGCTTCCACTTCAGTTCTTGATTCAAGTTCCTGTTTTTGTTTCCCTCCATGGACTGTGACCCAGGATATGCAAAACAAATGCCTCCCCCGACTCACACACAGTTTGCCTTTGGTGGAGGTCTTTACCACAGCAACAGGAAGCAAGGGAAGACAGTGTGTCTGTTTCCCACTGCAATATCAAAATACCTGAGTAAATTAAATTACAAAGAAGAGAGAGCTGTTTGAGTCCACAGTTCCAGTCTCTGGTCAGTTGGTCCCATTGATTCTGGATTGTGGTGAGGCCGAGCATCAGGCAGGGGTGTGTGATGGAGTGCTCATGTCGCGGCAGTTGTGGCCAGGAAATGCAAAAAAGAGAGAGGAGCTGGACATCCAACAATTCCACACCCCCAAGTGCATGAATACCTCCCCACTGGATCCCACCTCTCAAAAGTCCCCAATAGTGCCAATCTGGGGACTAGCTTCTATCACCTAGGACACTGGGAGACATTGTGCCTCCAAACTATCGAACAGCTCCTGGATGCTGGTGAGCCTGGGAATCCCACCAACTGAAAAGGAGAGAAAAGGCAGAAACTCGTGAGCCTACCTGAGCCCGGGGCTGAAAGGACACAACAAAAATCCCAATGAGCTCCAGGGTGGGTGGAGTCTCAGGTCACTGGCCTCCTAAAGAGCCATCCCTCTGCCCCTTCAAAACCCTATCACCACTGAGGGGTACCCAGGCACGATGTTTAATATTGATTGTCCACTTGCCACTTGGGAGACAATTCTCTGGGTATGTCAGTGAAAAAGCTTCTGGATTGGGTTGATGTGGGAAGTGTTGGTTTTATGCAGCACTTTTACCCTGAGAGGAAAAGTCACGAGGCACAACAAAACCCACTATAAGAGTTTTATTAGGAGGAGAGAGGGACAGGACACAGTGTGTGGTCAGGCCTGCTGAAAAGACATGTGCGGAGAGAGGGGGGAGGGTACATGGGACCCGCCTTTTATAGACTACCTTGTGCATGTGCACATGAGCCCACGTGGCTACTCCACACATGCACATAGATTACGTGATCACGCTGCACACAAATTATGTGACCATGTAGCACATGGATTACGTAGGATGTAGGGCCTGGAAATGACTAGGTGGAAATGACTAAATGTCTCGCCAGGGCATGTGCGATCATGGGGGCGTGGCTAGAATTCCTATCAGGAGGACCCTCCCTAAGTGTGAGTGACCTCATCCCCTGGGCTTCCGGGCTGAGCTGCCTGGGAAGGAGAAAGTGAGCTGAGCGCCAGCACCCATCCCCCTCTGCTTCCCCGGGGCAGGGGCAGTGTGACCAGCTGCCTGCCGCTCCTGCCACTCTGCCTTCCCTGGCGTCATGGACTGTGTATCTTCAAACTGTGAGCCAAGATAAACTCCTTGTCCAGTATTTCATCATAGCCATGAGAAAGGCTGCACTGTGAGTGCTGGTGGAATTTGTGAGCATGAGCATTCAGTGCTCAACTGCAAAGTATTTGCAAGCATGGCCACCTTTGGTCGCCTCCGACTTTAGAGTAGACAGGACCAGGATCTTGCAAGGGTCCGTTCTCCCATCCCGTGCTTTACTATCCAGGTATTCTACACAGAACTCTAGAAACTCTCAAAGGACCCAAGTCTAAGACCATGAGGGATTCTTTAGGGAGCTGAGCAGGAGATGCCCTGATTTAAATGAAAAGGCCTGCTGTGAGATGGGTGGTTATCCCCGTCCTAAACTCATGTTAAACTGTGCTGTGACAACCGGGGAGGAAAGGGTTTATTTCATCTCACAGCTCACAGTCCATCACAAAGGGACATTCTGAAGGCAGGAACTGAGGCAGAGGAGTGCTGCTTCCTGGATTGCTGTCAGGCTTATGTTCAGCTACCCTTCTCATACCTCCCCAGGGACCATCTGTCAGGATTGAGACTGCCCACAGCGGACTGGGCCCTGCCACATCCATTAAAAAATCAAGAAACTGTTCCTCAGACATACCCACAGGACAATCTGATGAAGGTAAGTCTTCACTTGAGAGTCACGTGGCATCTTCAGTCAGATCCAGGGAGAGATATCATATGTCTAGGTTTGTGTCAAGTTGACAAAAATTGACCAACACACTCATGTTGGAACATAATCCCTAAAGTCACATGTCAATGGAACTCGGGAGTGATATATTTGGCAGGTGTCGAGTCATGGGCCTGTCCTCAAGAATGAAAAGAACCGTTAATGAATCAGGGAATTAATGGGGGTGAACAAGGAAGCCCGTCTGCTATAAAAGTTAACTGAACAAGGGCATGGTGGTGCATGCCTGCAATTCAGTGCTTCTGAGGCAGAGGCAGGGGATCAGAAGTTCAAGGTCATCTTCAGCTATGTAGTGATTTGAGGCCAGCCTGGGCTACATAAAAAAACCTGTCTCAAAATCAAAACAAAAGGGAGTTGGAGAGATGACTCCGCAATAAAGAACATTGGCCACTCTGCGAGAGGACCTGAGTTCAATTTCCAGGACCCATATTGTGGCTCACAACCATCTATAACTCCAGGCCCAGGGGCTCCAACATCATCTTCTGACCTTTGCAGGCACTAGGCACACACGGTGTACAGATAAACATATAGGGGAAATACTCACGCACATACAAGAAAAAGATAAAAATCCAGGTTGGCCACTCCTATGAGCCCTCTCTCCATATGTTGCCCTGGCTGCCTTGGGTTCTGTCTTGCCCTGTCAGCAGGAAACCCCTCACCCGAGCCCTCAGCTGCCCAGCCTGCAGAACTGTAAGAAGCAAATTCTCTACAGTTAGAGCTTTGCTTCCTGTTCCTCTTTGGTGTGGAAAGCAGGAGAGGCAGGAGAGAAAGTGAAGAGGGAGACAGACAGCAGAAGAGAGATCAGAAAGGGACCCGTGGTGAGTCGTCCAGTTATGAACTGAGGAGAGAGCGGGCTGCAGAGGCTCTGGTGAGCATCACTGCCCCCACGGGCCTTACATCTAACTCCAGCTGAGAGTCAGATGTCATGATGAATCTTAGACCTGGTGATGAGAAGAACGCTCAGCTGGTTAAGTGCTTGCCTTTGCAAGGACCAGAGTTCAATCCCCAGAATCCACACTGAAGAAAAAAATCCAGGCATAATTACACATGCTTTTAATCACAGTACCAGGGGGGAACAGATAGGTAGCTTCCTAGGGTTTGCAGGCTACCAGCCTAGCTGAATCAGCAAGCTGCAGGCCAATGAAGAGAGTCTATTTCAGGAAAAGAAGAAGGAAAAAAAAAGGTGCCATGCAAGCTTCCAAGGGAGGGAAGTGTATTGACTAGTTTTATGTCAACTTGACACAGGCTAAAGTCATCAGAGAGGAGGGAGCCTCAGCTGAGAAAGTGCCACTATTAGATCCTGTTGTTGACAAGACTGTAGGGCATTTTTTAAATTAGTGACTTATGGGAAGGGCCCTGGGCTGGTGGCCCTGGGTTCTGTAAGAAAGCAGCCTGAGCAAACCATGAAGAGAAAGCCGGTAAACAGCATTCATCCATGGCCTCTGCATCAGCTCCTGCCTACAGGTTCCTGCCGTGCTTGAGTTCTTGTCCTGGCTTCCTTTGATGATGAGCTAAATAAACCTTTTCCTCACCAAAGCTGTTTTGGTCATGGTGTTTCATCACAGTAATAGTAACTGTTGGTTTTTATGCAGCCGTGCGCTGTTACCTTGTGAGAAAAGCCACCACGAGGCACGACAAAACCCACTATTAGAGTTTATTAGGGAAGGAAGGACAGAAGAGAATGTGCTTAGGTGTATGGAAGACATGTGGGGGGCGGGGAAGTCTGTGACACGCTTTTTATGGATTCCCCCTGCACATGCGCATATGGGCTTACGGAACTAGGCCAGGCATACAACATAGATTGGGTGATCACACTGTGCGTAAATCATGGATTAAGTAGGACATAAAGCCCTGGAATGACTAATTGTTTTGCCAGCACATGGGAGGTCATGTAGCTGGGGGAGTGGCCAGAGATTCCAACAGTAACCCTAACCAAGACAAGAAGTGACCAATAGTCCTACCCAGCCATTATGCCTAGGAACTAAAACAATGACCAGCATAGCACAAAATCCATAGAGGTACAACGGTGTCACACATAACTTGGTGGTAATCAACGGCTTTCTAATTGGTCCTAAGGCCTGCTCAAAAACATGGAAATTATGCCTAGTGCTGGAACCTAGCTAACTGCCTAAGACTAGTGAAGTCGTGGTCTTGAAGGAACACCTACAACCACCACTTTATTAAATCAGCTTAATTCCTAACTACCATCTAAACATTTGTCCATAATTATACCCACAGGTAAGTGTATCCCTCACCCTTCATCAAGAACACTTCTCTTTACAGCAGGCAGAGACCATTACAGAAAACCACAACCTTTCAAAATGCAGGAAACAAGTGACCGTGTAATGCCTAGTCTCCATTGACCCATCCACAACACAATTCCTGCACCTAAGGTTCAGAGATCATCGCAGAGGAGGGAGAGGAAAGATGGTAAGAGACAGAGGAACAGGAAGTTTGCTGTGGGATTATGTCTCCTAGAAATATCAGAGAAGCTACAACCCATGAAGTCTCATCAGCATGGCTGCCCAAACAAGACCTAACCAATGGTGACACCAATGGACGTGCTAACACGGAAGGGAGAAAGCTCACAGGACTTCAGCCCTAGACAAAGAACTATGGGCAACTGGGGATGCTGAGAGCAGAAAAAAATGGTCTGCCCCAGGGAAGAGCTCACCAACTGGTTATCCAGTACCAAGTGGTCGGCCCTAGGATCAGAAACACACAAGCAACATTATAAGGAATGCGCAGGGGGCATTTAGGAAAAAAATGCATAAAACAATAAAGAAAAAGAAGCCATGAATATGGGAGCCAGCAGAGACACATGGGTGGGAGGGGTGAAAGGGAGGATAGGGAAAAATAATGCAATTATAATTTCAAAAAAGAAAAAAAGTAGATAGTGCCTGAAGAATGACTCTCAAGATTGTCCTCTGACCTCCATATATGCATAAACATAGACATAAACACACACACACACACACACACACACACACACACACACACACACACACGCATGCATGTGCTCCTGCCACCACAAATGTACTTGCACATATCTAAACATGTATACATTTGTGCACACACAGAGATAGATCTTAGAGCTCAAGGCAGTCTTGAGAGAGTAAGCATTAATGTTAATAGCTAATGTTAATAGCTAATAACTAATATGGAATATTAATGACACTGTTCCTGTTGGGCTCATTCTCCCCAGAAGTACAGACATTGTTTCCATTCCTCTTTTGCCAGTAACTTCACTGAGACTCCTACTGCTGGGGAGGCAGAGGCAGGTGGGTCCATGATACCTCACCTCTTTGACCACGAAGCCATTGGGGATTTGTTTTGTTTCGTTTTGAGGTAGGGTCTCACTATGTAGCCCTAGATGACTTGGAACCCAACTTATAGACCAGGCTGGCCTCAAACTCACAAAGACCAGGCTGGCCTCAAACTCACATAGACCAGGCTGGCCTCAAACTCACATAGACCAGGCTGGCCTCTCAGGTGCCAGAATTAAAGGCATATACCACCACACCTGGCCGAGCCTTTTTTTTTTTTAATCAAACTAGGCTTTGAAGGCAAAGATCTGTTTATTGCCTGAGCTTTGCCCTCTCTCCCTGCCCCTCACCACTGTGCAGTGCACCTGGGCTCCTGACTCCAGGTCTTCCTGACCTCTAACGCCCACAAATCTTCCTAAGGTTCCACATCCGGACAAAGCACCACGGTCTCTGAGTGCTTGGAAGAAAACATACTTGCAAAGTGTTGCAGGTTCTCCAGGGCATTCATCTGTTTCTCTGTCCAGTCCAGCCTCACTGATTAAGGATGTTGATCCAGACTCAGGATAGGTGCTGACAGCATGGACTTGAATCACAGTCACACAGAGACTTTTTCTTTGAGACAAGGTCTTTCTACATAGCCCTGGCTGACCTGGAACTCACTCTGTAGACCAGGCTGGCCTGGAACTCATAGAGATCCGCCTGCCTCTGCCTCCTGAGTGCTGGGATTACAGGCGTGCACCACCACACCCAGCCCAACACCCACAGCCTTTCAATGAATGGTCTTTCGGGCTACAAGTCGCCATCCCTCAGAACAGTGAAGACATTGGCTAGTTGCCAACGCAACTGTCTGATGTCACTCAAGCAGGAACTTTAGGAAGAAAACAGGAGGATTTAATCAGTGATAATGTGTGCCTAGTAACAGGTGAGGCCTTGGGTTCAAGGACAGCACCACAGAAAGCAATTTATTTATTTATGTATATGTGTGTGCGTGTTTTAGAGTAGGTGGAGGCACATGTGTGAACAGGTGCATGGACACAATGGTGCCTGCATTTGTGTGGAGGCCAGAAGTCAACCTCAAGTGTCATCCTCTGGAGCCATCCATCTGATTTTCTGAGATGGGACCTCTCCTTGCCCTGGGACGGACTTCCTGAGTAGACTAGGCTGGCTGGACAGTGAACCTGGGGATCCACCTGTCTCCACCTCCCCAGCATTGGAATCACATGCTCCGGTTTTTTTACATAGGTTATAGAGAGTAAACTCAAGTCTTCACACTTGCGAAGAAAGCATTAAGCCTAAACCATCATTTCAGCAAAGGAAAGACAGACAGGAAGGAAGGAGGGAGGGGGAGAGGAGGGAGGAAGGAAAGAAGGAGGGAAGGGGAGAAAGAGGGAGGGAGGAGGAAGGAAAATTATTTTTCAAATCATATGCATTATTTTTTTCAAATGACTACATTTCTACTTTGAAAATGGAACTATGCATTGCTTCTTTCAGCTTACGAAGGACCTTAAAAAATTCTTTTAGAGTGTGGCTAAAATTCCTTTCCTGGGGGGAGACATAAATAATATCTCTCTCCTCTAAGGTCCCAACAATTAACTGAGGCACGATTCCACAAAAGTTCACCCGGGGGGACCACTGAGTTTATGTGGCTTATTGACGGGGCAGTGGGGG